TAGTGTCCATAGAGTCTCTTCTACTGAAACTACAGCACAGTTCAAAATACTGATAAAAGTAATAGCCCCTTAGATAGAAGGTGATGAGTGCCTTTGCAGATGACATTGCTTTAATGCTGTCTAAGCTAAATGAGTTTTTCCCTTTGATTATTGAAGAAATATTAAAATATGGAGAGGTAGTGAGTTTCAGAATTAATTTTAAAAAGACAAAGGCTTTGTCCGTCAACATCAGCCCCAAATTAGAGAATGAGGTAAGAGATAAGTAGAACTTTAAGATTTATCCTAAATAAATAAAATATCTTGGACTTTTAATACATTTTTTTGGTCTAAATTGGGCACACTAAGTAATTCCTGAACTAGAGGAAAATCCTAAGGGGACAATTTCAGTGTCAGATTTCTAAAGAGCAAATTTAGTTTTTTAAATATTTATGGTGATAAAAAGAGGAATGCTTTATGGATGCAAAAACCTTTAAGATCTTTAAAGTTCTTAAAACAAATCCTTCTCTGGAAGGATAAGGGAAAGTTTACTGAAACTAATGCTCTGATGGTATTATACTCCAATTTCTTTAGCATAAATGATGAGGTTCTTATATAAGAATTGTTGAAAGAGCTATGGTAACATTGGAGCATACTGGCACGTTTGGTGAGATCCAATAGATATGGAAATTAGTAATATTTTCATTTTTCTCCCAACACTCCACCAAAAAATCCCACACCATATCTAAAAATGTTGGCTTGTCTTACTCTGGGGGTTTGTAAATGGGGTGTGGGGTATATGAGGTCCATGGAGTACCTACCCTTAATGTAGTTAAGTGCCTGCTGCTTGTATTTTTGTTTGCAGTATTGCATTAATAGTAGAAGATTCAAAACTAAAAAAACAAGCATTTCTTCACACAGCACAAACTATAGAATTGTATATTCTATTTGCATATTTTTAAAAAGGAAGTAGACCAATTCATGAAGGAAAAGTCTCTTACTTAAGCTCTTCAATAACGGAATACATTATTAAATAAATAATATTCTTTATCGGAAAGCATGGTAGGGAGATTCTATAGTTCTTCCTTTTGAGTGTTTTGAATTTGAGTTTGAATCAGTTCCTTATTTTAAGTCCTCTTCAATGTCTGGCTTCATTTAGCTTATCCGACTAAGATTTATGTAAGCAGTTTAATAATCCATAAGACAAAGTGATACAATCAACTTTTGAAGACTGACAAGATATTCTTTGTTTCAGTAATGAAGAATCATAAACCTTGTATACAAATGGTCTTATGTGACATTATGGCACTCTGCTTAGTTGTAGCTGTGGAAAAAGTAGACATGTACCAAGCTTCAGTGGAAAATGAACACAGTTTTGAACTCAGCAGTACCATTTGTGCCAACACTGCTTATGGTTAAGAACTCATAAAACAAATTGACAGATGGTTCATTGTAGAGCATTGCAAAGATAATTTTTTAATTGTGGAACATTTTTCTGCAGTAACTTGCTTAGCTCTAAATGGATATCTGTAATTAGAATTGGATTCTTACCTGTTTGTGCCAAATCCCTCTTCCTGACACAAACAAGTTGGTGCAACTGTGGCATCAGAAGGTATAACAATTGTGATTATACAGAAGTGGAAAAGAAAGACCAGGAAAAAATGAAAAAGCAGAGTAGGGGTAGGGGGCTACTCCAATCAGATGGAAGGATATAGGAACCCTATTATGAGATGACTTAAAAAGAAAATTACTATTCTGGAATATAGTATACTAATGTTGCTCACATTATCTTGTGGTAAATATTCCATTAAAGCTATCATGCCACTTATTCTATTCAAGGTCACTTCCCAACATATTACAATTTTAACATACTGAATTAATATGTATATTTGCTTTAAAATTTTCATCCATGCTATTTTCTATCTTCCCATTTCACATACATACATGTATGTACATAAGCACTTTTCTTATATCCAAAGAAAAGTGTCTGAATCTAGAAATGTGAACAGTCAGATGGTGCTGTGCCACCATTGTACTATATGTATTTCTTGTACTATATGTATACCCATTATTTATGCAGTCATCTTACAATAAGTATGCAACGTGTCTTTCAACAAGCTTATAGCAGTTCTGTGGAAATCTTGGGAAAAGAACAATACATTCTTTCAGTTGGACATGCTTTCATAATTATACCGTATTGCTGCCATCTGAACACCTAATCAGATAGAGATAATTTTTTTCCACAACAATTTGTCCCTAACCTGATCTTTCAGGTCTTCAATGGTGCATTTTTAGCCACTGTAACTGAGTCCATCCACTTTGCTGCTGGTCGTCGTCTTCTCTTCCTTCCAGCTTTCCCAGCATTACAGCCTTCTCCAGAGAGTTAGGTCTTCACATAATATGTCCAAAGTAGGATAATTCGACCCTGGTCATTTGTGCCTCTAATGAGAACTCTGGGTTCATTTGTTCAATGATCCATTTGTTTCTTAGCTGTCCACAGTATTTTTAGAAGTCTTCTCCGACACCAAAGTTCAAAGGCATCAATACTCTTCCTATCCTGCTTCTTCACAGTCCAACTTTCACTTTCATAGAGTGTCACAGAGAATACCGTGGTTTGCACAGTTCTGATCTCTGTAGATATAGACACATCATAGCATTTGAATATCTTGTCCAAGGCCTTCATGGCTGCTCTACCAAGTGCTAGTCTGTGGTGTATTTCTTAACTGTTTGCTCCTTTACTATTGATGGTTGATTCTAAAAGGCAGAAGCTATCTTCATTGTCAATTCTAAGGCTGGTGCTTCTACCTGTTGTCATTAGTTTGGTCTTCTTTATATTTAATTTTAGTCCCATTTTTTTCACTGTGCTCCTTGACTTTCATTAGCAGACTCCCCTTAATATATATTCAGGATATAGGTTGAATAAATAAGGGGAGAGTATACAGCCTTATTGCATTCCTTTGCCAACCTGAAGCCAGTCTGTTTCACCATGTTCTGTCCGTACTGTGGCTTCCTGAGCATAGATTTCATATGAGGACAATGAGATGTTCTGGGATTCCCATTTTTCTAAGCACATTCCACAGCTTGATGTGATCAACACAACTGAAGGCCTTTCTGTAATAAATGAAGCACATAGTGACTTCTTTTTGAAATTCTTTGGCTTTTTCAATTATCCAGCATGTATCAGCAATAATGTCTTGTGTTCCTCAGCCTTTTTTAAAGCCAGCTTGAACATCTGGCATCTCTTTTTTCATGTAGGGCTCTAATCTGCTTTGATGATCCTAAGCATTATTTTGCTAGCATGTGAAATTAAAGGATATTGTACAATAGTTTGCACACTCTGTTAAGTCTCCTTTTTTTAAAATAGTGGAATGTGGATTGACCTCTTCCAATCTATTGAGCACTATGTCATTTTCCAGATTTGTTAGCATAGCTTGGTTAGAATCTTTAACTGATTCATTTAGTCTTAATATTTTTCAAATATAAAATCTGAAAAGGCTGACTTCTGGGGAAAAGGGTTTCATTGTACTTCATTTTAGTACATATATTAAACAAGAAATAAACTTACTAAGAAGTAATTCTACAACATTGGTCTCTTAATACAAATACCTTACATTTTACTTCTGGAGGGGGATTATTTGCTTTAATGGAGAAACAGCAGATTGTCAGATCATAGCCTTGATCGTATGTGCTGGCTTTTAAATGTTAACATTTGGCTGACAGCAGATTTCCTCTTCAGTGCATTTTTATGTGCCTTTGCATTTCAGGAACATCTGTAAGCCTTCCTTCCCATTGCAGAGTGTCTTGTTTGAACCAGCAGGCTCTCAATATACCTTAGAAATACATACATACATACATACATACATACATACATACATACATACATACATACAGGCATACGACTAAAGATCTCTTTACCACAAAGCTGTCTAGTATTGTTTGTTTGGACACTACTGATCACCTATAGGAAAGAAGCAGTGTGGGAGAGCTTGCCCAGATTTGGTTGGTGTTGACTCTGAGCAATATCTCATCAACAAGAAGCACATTCAGGACAGGTCTGTAAGAGGTAGGGGAATCTTACGTTGTGTAGAATCCCCATTTTCTGCCAGTTACCTTCATTGAATTAGGATATATGGCTTCAGTGACCTCTGTCTCATAATACAAATAGTTAATTCTCTTATATTGTTCTAAGATGATTTTGCAGCAGCAACACACAAAAGATCAAAATGATTCCAGTTTGTTTGCAGGCTCACAGAATTTGTGATGCTCAAGGCTTTACTTTAGCAGAACCGAGTGAGGGTTGCATTTGCATCAAGATCAAAAGCAACCAAAACCCGCTTATATTTATATAGAAAAAGGAATGCAGGTAAGGGATCTCAACTAGCAGAATATTTTTAAGCCACAGAATGAAGCTATATGGTGAAGAGGAAAAAATATATTTCTTTTCTAATACTTTTAAAAAGTACAGTCTGCTGAGTTTCAGAAGGTTCAGCTATTTTTAATAAGGACATTTGAGGCCATAACTGACCAAATGTGAATAAATTTCAAAGCCCTTTTATTCTACCAATAGAACTTACTTTCAGTGGAAATTTGTTTCCTCCAAGCTAGTCATTTCCTATAAAATATACTTTTATTAAACTACTTACAAGCTTGTGTTTCTTCGCTAATTTTTAAAATATTGTTCATAGTGTGTTGTTTTTCTAGGGTATGATGTTGGGTTACTACGTGCTGGATGTACCGTATGCACATGCACAAAAAAAATGTAAAGAACCTGAATCCAGAAAAAATTGCAAAACTGATCTCAGATTGGAATAGAGAAGCCATTTGGAAACTGGGAAATCTCAAACAGTGGGACACAAGTATTCTTCTTGGTGGGGTTGGCTTTGGTTGAAACTGAACCCTAATAATGGTGAAGTTATTAGTCCCCTATTCTTAGAATTCAGTTTAATCTTTTTAAATTATGTCTGAGTGTATTCACGTGCCCTATCATTAAATGAGCACTGATATATCTATTTCTTTTTTTACAGAGATGAAAACCAAAGAGGTATAATATCTACAGTAAAATCTAAAGGTAAGGATATCATTAGTTGTAGTGACTAACACAATTTGAGATTTTTTCCCCTTTCTGGCAACAGAGAATCTTGCTAGACACAGTTTAGGGCTCATACAGTCCAACATCTTGCTTCTAAGAACCTAAATGCTTCTGAGAAGGCTGCAAGAACGACTGGAACAACACTCAGCATTTTTGCTCCAACAGTTAGGTAAATAAATGTTGTGCCCTTAAGTCAGTCTTGACTCCTGAGGATTGGCAAGTCCCTGCAGTTTCCTTGGCAAATATTTTTGGAAAGGGCCCTTTCCTGCTTCCTGGGGCTGAGAGAGAGTGACTAGCTCGAGGTCACCCAGTTGGCTTTGTGCCTAAGGCAGGACTAAAACTCATGGTCTCCCACTTTCAAGCCTAGTGCCTTTAGCCATTACACCAAATTAGCTTCAGTTATTTGCAGAATAAGTCTTTATTTTGTGATCATAGCTATTAAAGGAAGATTGAAAGAGGGCTAATAGTTATCTTCCTATCTGTGCCCTCTGCAGTGAGGGGCAAATGGGATCACGGTGGCGATGTAAGCAGCATTGTGACACAAGCTCCATCCCTTTTCTATCTGCATTACAATATTGTATGCCTTCCCCCAAAGGGCAGAACCTTACGCTGCAACCTCCTTTCATCGTTTTGATGAAAATAATGAGAGCCTGAAGATGCTGCTTCTTCACATCTTTTGACCATGACTTCCACAAATAATATTACACATTATATGAAAAAGCACTTCTTTTTCTGCATTACACAAACTTAACCTGGGGCCATCTATTTATCTCTACACTGTAGGTACTTACTCTTTTAACTCAGATGTGAGCCCTCCAGATGTTGGATTTGTTATTCTTGACCACTGGTCCTTATCACTGAGACTGATGGAGGCCAGAGTCCAACAGCTGGAGAGCCACAGGCTTCTTGCTGTCTAATTAGCCATTAATTATAAGGAAAGTGCTCCAGTCCAGTGATTTCTGCATCATTTTTAGCTCTACAAAAGCCTTTTGAAGATGAGCGTCAGAACTGTATATACCATTCTCAGTGTGGTTGCACTATCTTAAAATACATTGATTCTAGCTTTTATTTGTCTAAAACATAAAGTGGCCTAGATCATTCACATTTTATTTCTTATCTTTGTTATGAACCTGGATCAGGGGTACCCACAAGCCGTATTTTTGAGGGCAGCAAAATGGTTGGGCCATATCCCAAGCAGCAGAGATGGGGTTTGGAAAGGGAGTTTTGGCAGATTGCGTAGTTTTTAACTATGATATATGTCTGGCCCAGCCCAAGGACAAGGGTGAAACAGTCCAGTCGAGTTCAGTTCCTTTATTCGCTTACACCATACAGACAGAACCTTGCCAGACTAAATCTATCCTACTGCAACTAGCGGACATACCCTGGGAGATTCTAGGGAGTGGCTGTCCTGAACCTCTTACTCTTTTCACGCTCCCCCTGCGGACTGCGTTGTCTTTTTGTCTCCTTTCCCCTCCTGGAATGCACCCCCCCTTCCAGATGGCCTTGCTCTCTGTTGCTATCCCCCACATCACCCTCCCCTTCATAGATACATTCCATCACAATATGCCTATTTTGAGAGCTTATACTACAGTTTTCATTTATTTCATATAGAGGTAGTCTTCACTTAATGACCGTTCGTTTAACAACGGTTTGAACTTACGGCAGCCTTGGAAAAAGTGCTTTACGACTTGTACTCACACATACGATTGTTGCACTCCCCCACAGTCATGTGATCACAATTTGCGACCTTTTTATGACAGCCGTTAAGTGAATCACTGTGGTCATTAAGTGAATCACTGAGGTCGTTAAGCAGTTTCTGGCAAAAAAATCCATTGGGGAAATTGGATTCGCTTAACCACCACAGTAATTTGTTTAATGACTATTGCAAAAATGATCATAAAATTAGGTCCGGTCACATGGTGACTCACGTAATGACTACCCCACTTAATGACCAATTTTCCAGTCCCTATTGTGGTTGTTAAGCAAGGACTGCCTGTATCAAAATGGTGATAAACTACACCTTCAGTTTTCAACAATTATGGGATTCCTGAGGGTGCAAAACTAAAATTGGAGGGTTGCAAGTGGCCCTGGGCCCACAGATTGTCTTCCTCTGCCCTAAACAGAAGATAGGTTTTGCTGCATCAATCAAAATGTGGATGCCATTTTTGTATACCAAATGCTAATAACGACTACATTGGGTACTTCCTGAGAAATTTCCATTGCCCAAAATGGGAAACCATTTTTCTTGCAAGGTTTCTAGTTCTTCAGGATTAATATGTCTAAGTCAGTGGAAAGGGAGGCTGTCTTGTATTTCTAGCTCTTTTTTATCTTTTTACATTATAATGATGATGACTGTTTAACCTCACTCCCCCATCTTTTCACCCTTATACCTACAAGAAATTTGTTTTTCCCTTTGTCTCCTTCCTCAAAAAATAAATAAAATAAGGAAGATAATCAGAAAAAAAAGTTTAATGAAGGTGACAACTGCACAACCCCTTAGATGGGGACAATGAATCAGATCCAGTCCATAGATGAATGGAAGGAGAACTTCTGTGGCTCTGATTACAGTTAAATAGGGTATCATACAGTATTTAACATTTGTACTGTTACCTGGTTGCCATTTGTTGAAGGCTCTAAATATCCTAAATAATATAAAGTATTGGTTATGTTGAAAGTAAATGACTTGTCATTTCTTCTCGCGTCTGTTTTCCTAATCCAGCTTTTTGGGGTGAATCTGACGATAGCAATTCTGATATTGAGGCAGCCCTACGTCCTCAGATACACTGTTCACAGGAAGATGGATTCAGTGATTTCTATGACTGAAGGCCTAACTTGCTCCTCACTTACAAACAAATGATAAAAAGCCAGTAGCAATTTTTCAGGAGAAAAGTAGCTTCAAAAAAGGTCAATCTGGAATGAATATCCTGTTGGCACTTTTATGTTCCTTACCATTCTAGCCACTTCTCCACACCAAATCTCTCAGCCTACTTTTAACCAATACGTTTGTGAATTATTGTAATAGTCTTCTGAAAACTAAGCTCAAAGAGCACCAAAACCCAACAGCCTAAGACAGCATTTACACCTGGATTTGTCTGAAATCTGAAGAACAAACGAGAGAGGAAGAGTAGTTTTGGAGCTAGAAAACTGCATGCCTTTATGTATTCCCTCCTTCACCCGTTCCTTGATCTAGTTGCTCCACTGAAAGTTTTTTCTTGTACTTGAATGGCCACCAGACTAATGGATCCAGTTCAGGCCAAAACAACCATGATGTTTATTCATGCTATTATGAATTATGTATTAAATAAAGAGCAGCTGATGGTGTTGGGACCTCGTTTATATTTGTAGCTTTAACCCATGACAACTGCTTGCATCAGGAGGGAAGCTTTTAGTAATGGAAATAGTAGCTGCAAAGGGAGTGAAAAACCTGATTAAAGAGGAGCAGGGGCAAAAGGTTAACTTTTTTGTGGTTCCAGTCTGGATCATGCTCTCCTGCTAACTACTTAAAACTTCACACAATGAGCAATTGTATGAATAATGGCATTTCTGGCTTAGCTCTTAACTTTTTAGCTGTAGAAATAAAGCATATTATTTCAGAAATCAAATTTGTAGACATGTATTTCATCTTCAGTTTGTTATCTTAGACAATGCAAAATATTGTATTTGTTGTCTGTCTATACTCCAATAAAATGTACTTCTGAAAACGTGGAAGAAACTGTTCTCACAATCATTGTTTATATTTTGAAATTGATAATGATTATCATTAAATAATCTCTGTGGATTGAAACAAATGGGATCTTCACAGTCAAAAAAGATTTGTCTTGACCCAGCAATTCATTGGAAGCTGTGGTACTAAGTATTTGCTTCATGCAGGACTGGTCACTGGGTCACAGAAGAGTTTGGAATCTCAGGATAATTGGCTCAATTACTGAACCGGCTCCCAGTTTCCTTCTAGGTGCAATTCAAGGTGCTGGTTATTACCTTTAAAACCCTACATGGCACGGGACCAGGTTATTTGCGGGACCGCCTTTCCCTAAGGACATCTGCCCATCCTACCAAATTGGATAGGCTGGGCTTGTTCCTAGACCTTTCCCTTAAACATTGCCATTTTACAGGACCTAGGAAGCATGCCTTTTCTGTGGCAGCCCCTGCCCTATGGAACACCCTTCCCCGGAGGTTTGGCAGGCCCCCACCTTTTAACCTTCTGAAAAGCACTTAAGACCTGGCTTTTTCCCCAGGTGCTGGGATAGGGTGAGATTGGTCGGATGACCTTGTGTGGGCTGTATGGGAAAGTTTATTGTGGAGCCAGCCTTTTGGTTTTAATGTTTCCATTTTATTGTATATAAATATTGTTTTATTTTGGGGTTGTGAGCCACCCAGAGTTTGGGTCAAGATGGGCAGCTATATAAATGTTTTAAATAAACAAATAAATAAAAATAAAGTAAAGTAAGGTGGAATCTTGTAGCCAAGGTGGTGCTAGTTTTTTTTTTCCATTACATTAAGCCATTATTTATTTCAACAAGTTTTTGTTAAAGCCACAATCACTGGAATCTTAAATAGTACTAAGCCATGAGTCATGCTTTACAAACAGGTGGCATTATCTTAAGCCATAAAGTTATTTCTTTGATTTTGGCTTAGTACAGTGAGTCAACTATGTCACAATGGAACATAATGGCTAAGATATTGGCATGAAAGTCCCGAATTTGAACTTTATTTCTGCCTGAACTATTTCTTTATTTAATTCAATTTAGACGCTACCTGATTCCAAACCAACTCTGGGTGGCTCACAATATTATAAACAATAAAAAACCAATAGAGAACAAAACAAAATGGGATTTGGTCACTCTATACAAAAACATAGACAAAAACACATTCAGCAAGAGGCTCCATCCATCTGAACCCAAGACGTTGAAGAACAACCATGTTGTCAGAAGCCTCAGTTCCATTATCTGTCAACAGGGTGGAAGCACCAACAAAGAGATCTCATTCTAGAGGGCAGGCACTGCGACAGCGAAGGCATACTTCCCAGGTCCCGATAGATGTCATTATTTAATTGGAGGAATCCAGAGTGCACCAATTCTACAAACACATACCATCTGGGCAGAAACTATGGGAGCTAGATGGTCCCACAAATAACCTAACCTTATGCATGTAGGGCTTTACAGGTGATGACTAGCACCTGGAATTGCACATTGACAAATGATATTCCATCCAACAATATAGATGGAAAATCCCCAAGTCCAAGAGGCCTTAATATCCACAGCCACTTGGTAGGATTGGGTTGCAGTCTGTTCCTTCTTATCCAGGCCTGCACAGGCACCAGGACAGGACCTCAACAGCCTCACTTGGCTGGCCTGGGGTCAGTTATACTTGTCATCAGCATATTAATGATACCAAATCCCAAACCAGTGGATGACCTCACTCAGTGGCTTCATGTAGTATTAAATAAGAGGAGAGAGATCCTGTGGCATCCTGCATAAGAGGGTTCTAAGGGATGACCTGTCCCTTCCCACCAACATCAACAGGAACTGACCACAAAAGAAAAGAAGCACTGTAAAACTTGGCCTTAAGCAAGCCACTTTATTTCAGCCTCAATTCCATTATCTGTAATAGTGACTTAATATTAGAGTTGTTTTAATGATTACAACTAAATAATGCACATGAAATGATTTGAGCATTCTGCAATACCTGACAGGCTTATGTAGGGGGAAAAAATTAACATCAGAAATACATTAATGAGTTTTTGGAAATTTGTAATCCATCAAACAGAATGCAGTCCACCAGCCATATATTTTAATCTGTAAGGGAGCTCCTTCTATTTTTTCATTGGATCAGTTGGCCAGTGGGAAATAGATCACTGATTTCCTGCTGTTACAAGAAATGGGAAACTTTGCTAGTAAAGCACCCTTTTCCTTTTCCTTTTCCACAAGCCATCAGCCTTATCAGCTCAATGGCTGGCTTCTTGCTGCTCCTCATAGGTGCTTTGCTTTGAAAACTAAAGGCCTGAGAGAAGAATTAATCTTCCTCTATCCCAATGCACTCTTTTCAAACAAAGCAGAGCTGGCAGCCAAAGCAAAGGCTGTAGGGATACTGACGAAAAGTAGGGACTGATCTGCTGTAATTTGATAGGTCACTTTGGAAGCATTATCTGGGTGAGAATTTTAATCATGCTATTTATTCATTCATTCATTCATTCAATTTGTATGACTGCCCATCTCAACAAGTGACTGGGTGGTGAACAAAATTAAGTTATAATGGTACAAAAATTAAAAGCATAGCAGCCAAGAATATATCATATAGCAAAATCATTAATACAAACAAGAAACAGGTTCCTGCACACACTTGGGGCCTCAGCCTAGAGCCAGGTCTTTAAGGACTTATGAAAAGTCTGCAGGGTCAGGGCCATCCTGATCTCCGGAGGGAGAATGTTCAATAGGCCAGGCACTACAGCAGAAAAGTCATGCTTCCTGGGTCCTGCCAACCAGCATTTCTAAGCCGACAGGACCCAAAACATACTTATCCTGCCAAACCAGATCAGTTGGGTAGAAACAACTGGGAAAAGACAGTCCCTCAAGTAATGGGTCCCAAGCCATGAAGGGCTTTAAAGGTGACAACCAGCACCTTGAATTGCACCTGGAAGCACACTGGTAACCAATGTAACTCACAGATAGGGGTGTTACATGTGCTGACTAACTGACATCATTTACTTCCTGTGCAGCTGCATTCTGCACCAGTTGAAGCAGCCCCATGTAGAACACATTGCAGTAGATCAGACAGGAGGTTGCAAGAGCATAAATGACCATGAACAGGGCCTCCTGGTCCAGGAATGTGCACAGCTGGTACACAACCCAAAGATGTGCAAAGGCCCTCCTAGCCATGGCTGCCACCTGCTCTTTGAGTAGGAATTGTGAGTCCAGGACCTCCAGATTGCACACAGGGTCTGTCTGAGGCAGTGCCACCTCACTGAAGACCAATAATGGGAGGTCCCTGACACTAGAAGTTCTAAACACTGAAAGCCACTCGGTCTTGCTTGGGTAGAACCAAAGCCTGTTGCACCCCATCCAGGCTCCCACAGCCTCCAGACAGTGGGACAGATGTCCACAGCATCACTCAGGTGGCCTGGGGTAGAGATATAAACTGAATATCAGCATACTGGTGATACCTCACCCCAAACCATTGGATGACTTCACCCAACAGCCTCACATAGATATTAAACAGAAGGGGAGAAAGGACCAAGCCGAGGCACCCCACAAAGAAGGATCCATGAATTAGACCTCTCCCCTCCTATCAACACCAACTGGAAACAGCCCTGGAAGAAGGAGGAGAACCAACACAACATGGTGCTGTTCTTTCCCAGAGCTGGTCCAGAAGGAAACCATGATCTGTTATGCTAATGTAACGATTGAAGATACTGGAATTAAATTCTAAATCATAATATAACTTTAGCACAATTCAGCCAATTGGTAAACTTGTTTATTTTGGAGAGATTAGCTCTGTTTAAAGATTTCTGCAATATTCTCAGGCTATGGAATGTATTTCCCTGGGAGCTATATTTATGTATGTGTTATGTGTTTTCCCAACTTAACTTACCATATATAATCACAGATAAACCCATCCACGGATAAGCCAACCCTCAAAATTTCAACCAAAATACCATGAAAAATGTGTTACCCATGGATAAGCCAACCCTTGAATGTTTAACTGCAGTGAAAGGCAGGAAACTGCAAACTGTTATGTCATCGTTTACTAAACTGCAATTTTAAAACCATGATGGGCTTTAAAAAATCTGAGTTCTGGTCTGCAGATAAGCCAAACCCAATTTTGGGGGTATATTTTGGAACCTAAAATTCTCAGCTTATCTGTGAGTATATATAGTAAGCACAGAAAATTGCTATTGAATAAAAGTATTACGGAGGGGAGAAAAGTTTTATATTTTGATTATGAAGTGCATCACTACAGTAATTTAATGAAGTACCTATTATAAAATACAGTAATTCAGTAAAAACATTAATGTACAACTGTACAAGATTATTTTTAAAATTGTCATTAAAGAAAGCATCCCCAGAACAGCTTAGACTTTAAAATCACAATTTATTTATTTATGTCCTGCCTTTTGTTCAAGAGCTGACAATAGCATACATAGTGCTCCTTTCCTATTTTTCCCCATAGCATTCCCCTGATATAGGCTGGACTGAGACAGAGCGAGTAGCACAAAGTCACCCAATCAGCTTCCACAATTAAGTTTTAAAAAAATGTTAAGTTAAAAAAAAAATCTCAGAATCCCAGATCAAGAAGAAAGCTCTAGTGATTAAAACATGGCTGCATCTGAGGGTTTGTTTTTTTTGTCCTTAGTCTGATAGAAATCCATCAGGTTCTTGCGGAACCTAGAGTTCCACAGAACATGGTTTGAAAAACTCTGGACTGGACCTTGGGTCTTTCTATTCCTAAACCAACACTTTAACCACTATACCATACTGGTTTTCTTTAGACTTTCAATTTACAGCTGAAAATATATACCTTAGAAAAAATAAGAGAGAAGCAAAAATTAGCTTAAAAGTTCCACTGCAGCTTTCATGTTAAAATATTAATATATTAAAGGGACTCAAAGAATAAAATGGCTTTGTTTACAATTACTATTAGTGGCTGAAAATAATTTTTCTGGGCAGTCTGCTATCCTTAACATTTACTATTACCTTTCTATCC